ACTGTATGTTTTTATATATTTAAAGATTATTTCTGTTTTTGAACTGATACTTTTCTTTACAATATCTTTATGGAATGATTAATTTATCGTATTTTATCATAAATTGTTGCCTGAATTTTACATTAAATTTTTAAATTTTTGAAGATATTTATATGATTGATTTTAACTAACAGTATTAGCAAGCAATCATATTCTTTTTTAAGATAAATGTAAAGTAAAACTAAGTTGTTTGAATGGTGGTTATGAAGATCCACAAAATTGTGCAATTTGTAAATGTCCAACAGGAAGTGATGGTATACGTTGCGAAAGTATACCACGATCTACAGGTAAGTTATATGCTATTAGGCAACTTTTTTTTCTTTCTTTTCTAATAATTACATGTAAGTAGAGTTAAGTGTTAAATGAATTTTTAAATTTAAAATGAAGAAAAAAATTATTTAGCAAGTTTATAACCAAATGATTTCAATTACTCAGATAAATAATTTACATGAATAATTGATGTACTTTTTCAAAAGACTAATATTTGTTCGCATTTCACTCTACAATGATGAAAATATTATCTTAGTAAAATAAATAGTTGTTTTTAATTTTAAATTTTAATTGACTGATAATGGATAAATTTTAATGCTTTGAATTAATTCTTGCACGAACACACCTGCTGTAATAATTATTTGAGCATAGCGGGTTGCGGTGGTGAATTATTAGCTGGTGATAAATGGCTTACATTGAAAAGTAGTATCGTTGGAAATTGCTTCTGGCGAATAACTGTAATTTTTTATATTTAAAAAATTGAAAAAAAAAATTGATTTAATTAATTAACTAATAGTGGATAAATTTCATTGTTTTATTATTAATATTGTATAAATTTTTTTTTTCATTTTTTCTAATATTGTTATAAATTTCAATCATAATTTCGATAATTTATAATATTATATGTTCATATTTATTATGCTTATCATAATGTTTAATTATAGGCACCTTATGGAAAAGTGCATTTAGAAGTATTGGATGCAACATATGTATGTGATTCATCATGTGCTGACAATTATCTTGAAATAAAGCATGGAACAGTATTGGAACAAACTGGATTCAGGTTACTCTCGATTTTAGAAATTCATTAAAATTATACAACAATCAAATAAAAAGTCATAAAAATAGATGTAAAATATTTATAGGCAATGTTGTAATGCTGCACCAGGTGATATCATTTCGGAGACAAATCAAATTTACATCATCTCTATTGCTTTAAAAGCTCCAGCTAATTTTACACTTCGCTATATTCGAGGTAAAAAAAAATTTCATGAATTCTTTCAGCGTTTAATAAGTCTATCAGGCAGTAAAAAAAGATACTCTTCATTATATCAGTTACTCTTTTTTTTTTTCAATATTTTAGATTCTACATCAGATCCGTTACCTAAAGCACCACCAGCACGATGGAAAGGACATGGTGGAATAACTGGATTAATTGGAGCTGAAAATGGTATTGATAATACCTGGGAGCATGTTGTCCTAAAAGAGCTTCCGAGAACTCTTCAAACATTTGGTCGACCATCTAACAATTTACTTTCAGATGTTTCTCGTATTTTGCAACTTTTTTTAAATCAAGGATGATAAAATAAATATGTTCAAAAATATGAAATACTAAAAAATTTGAGACAAAAGTATATTTTGATAGTTGTACGAATTTTGCATGAGATTAGTAATTGCATTTCCATTAACAATTTGGTTGTTCATAAATTATGCATAAAGTCGTGAATAAAATAATTGTCTTTCTTGCTGTTATCATCAGATCTTCTGTAAATCGAAGTAATACAGTTTTTGATGGATATTTTATGTTGCATTACAGATTCTGAAACTGATAAAAATGAAAGAAGCATTGATGAATAAAGATAAAGTAATATGCAATAATAAATGCATGGCATAAGTGATATTTTTGGTTAATTTTAATGAAAAAATAAATTTTATCATTCGATATCATCAGTGCAAAGATTATCATCCCAGCTTGATATCATTAAGAAAACTTAAGCATTACCCTGGAAAGAAATATTACAAATATGTTGATGACAAAACACATGATACTTTTTCCAGATATGATTCGACCTATCGATTTATTTGATAAAATTTTTTTTAATGGCATAAATCATTTCTTCATTCCTTTGGTTTTAAGAATTCTTTTTTTTTGTCTTATTTAATAATTATATTTGCACCAGTGTTAGATGTAATTTTCACCTAATTTTATAAATTTAATTCGTTAATTTAAAATTAATATGATTTAGTTGAAGAAATCATAGCAATATCACTTTTTCATTCTTGCCATTTGAGGAAAAAACCCAATTTGAATAGCAATACAGCTTTATTCGATTTTACAAAACGACACAGAAAAACATGATAAAAACGGAGAATAATATAATTTTTCGAGTATTTCACAATCTAAAAAATAAACTTTTAATATCGTAATATTTGCTTAATAAAAAAAAAAAGAAAACGAAAAATAGGAAAAACTAAATACATATTAGTACAGAGCTGATGAATCTGAATCTCAGCAATAATCTGTCACTAATTTTTAATGAAAATTCTTGAAATTTTTTAATTCTTGTAAAATTCGATGCAAACAAATCCCAGAAAATTAAATGACTCAGGTGATAATGAATGACATTGCAAACAGATAAATTTTTTTTATCAATGCCAGCAGAATTGCAAAGATTGCAAGAAAATAAAGGAATGAAATCACTTTGAGAGATAAAAAATAAATGTAATTTCAAACAATTTTTAAGTTATAAACAAACAAATCAAAATTTTTCATTCAAATCAAAAAAAAAAAATTGTCTCAAATATAGGCAGAATTTTTTAAAAAGCTATGGATAATTTCAAAAAAAAAATGACAAAAATTACAAAATATTTCAAAATATTAATAACTCACTGAATAACTCCAATCTCATATTTAATAATATTACTTATTATTTCATTTCTTTCTTTTCATTTATTTGTAAAGATTATTAAAAAGATACAAAACAAATACATTTTTAGGATATAAAAGATGAAAAAATTCTGTCCATAGTGTAATTTGAAATTAAAAGAAAAAATAAATAAATATGATTGGAGTAAAAATGAAATTTCCTGAAACTAAACATCAAATTGTTCATGATAGTTACGACGTTGATACGTTGCTTCATCGGTGTTTGCTTGATATGCCGTATGTATCATACTGCAACAATTAAATTGATATATATCAAATGATATTTAAATCATATCTAAAAATTGAACAAATTTATCAAGAAAAAAAAAGAAGGAATATAGTTGTTCAAATGAAATTATTTGAAATTAGCATTCAGTGATCAAAGAATAATATTATTGCTCAAGATTTTAAAACACGGAATCACTTTGAAGTGACAGTTACGCTATAAGAACCTGCTCGTTCCTACCGCAGGCGGAGCATTAACGGATGATGATGCTGTAGGTTGTGATGATAATCCACGATGCCACGGGGGTGTTGATGATTCAACGTTCGAATTTAGTAATGCCGTTGAAGCAGATGTATGATTATTGATGGAACCATTTGCAAGACCACATGTTGCACTTGTTGTTCCAGTTGATTGTTCCGTACGATCCCTAAAAGATGAGTAAAACTGTCATATGAAGTACAAAAAAAAANNNAAAAGACAACTAAGTTTTTAAATAACATAATATCATTGCTCATTTTGCATCTTAAAAAAGTAAAGTAAATATGACTTACAAAGAGCTAGCAAAACGTGTACGTGGATTCAATACATGGCTACCATAAATGTCTACTGGAATAGTGCTATCATTTCCTCGTGGAAAAAATGGATCTTCCTCATCCACTTCTACATAATCTGATGGTCTAAAATTTTAATTTTGAAATATTTGAATTTAAATGCTATTTATCTATTTGATTTTAAAAAAAAAATACGATTGAGAATCTCAATTTACCAATAATGTTTTGTTACCATTTCGACTATTGCATTTAGTTAATTTCATTAAAAGCTTAACTTATTATGCATTAATCTATTTCCAAATTGTATTCAAATCATAGAAATACTTACAATCGAGCGAATAACTGCCAACTTTTGGATACGATAAGTAAAAGCGTGAATAAGAATGCTTCAAGTAAAACCAAACAATACAACAAAATCGACGATCCAATACTGTAAAAGCAAAAAAATTTTTAAAATAAATTGAAAAGAAAAAACAATTTGCACTATTGTAGTGAATGAATTAAAAATTTTTCAAATATCTCAACAATTTTTTAAAGTATTTACTTACATTCCATCAATGCAAAAACTTCGTTCCATAATTAACATATCGTTGTGATAAGTATAACATCCAATAGTTGTTTCAAGAGCGCCAATGTTTTTTAATGCAAGTGTCATGCCGTCATTAATTATTTTGACCTGTTCGAAGAGCTGAAATTGAAAACTTATCAGATAACTAAAATGAACAACTACATTTTTGTCATCCGAAATTTCTTATCAATTCTCGTTTACAATCTAAACTTCTTCATCTTTCCTATTTTTTCTCTATTTCGATCGAATCATTTCATTGATCCTGATAGGTGTCAAATCAAAAATAAAACAATCAGAGACGAATAAAAGAGGAAATTAATTTGTTACTTCAATCTGTTTTTGCTGCATGCTGCCATTGAATAGAGTTTCAATTCTGGAATCAAATTTTTCATTCATTTCTTGTATATCTGAGAGTTGTTTACTGATTTTATCAATACGGATCACATTTGGAAAATTATCATGATTGATTGTTGGATTACATTTTCGGTAAAAATCAAATAATTCCATAGTTTCATTTGACATATATTCCCGAATAAATTGAGTACCATCTGCGCAAAAATCTACTAATGCCTTAAAAGAAAAATTAAAATTTCTTGCTTTAAACATATGAATAAATCCTGCAATCAATTTTCCTTCGAAAAAATTATATAGAACAAAAAAAGAAATTATATTGAAGGAAAAAAAAAAAGAAAATTATAAACCATAGAAGCTGGAAATATGGCAGCTAGTAATAGCCATCCAACAATAAAAATTGTAAAACCAAGACCGGAAAATATCACGGCTCCTTTTTTCGATTGACGACAAAATGCAATAACACCGGCAAAAAGTACGATAAACATAATTGATAGCAAAGTTGCACACAGAACCCATCTATAAAAAATACAAAAATCATTAGACATTGACAATAGAATAGAATAAAATAAAATAAAATAAAATAAAAATAAAATACAACAAATGTCTTAAAAATTTTTCATTTAGACATCTAAATTTATCGGTGATATTTTCGAATTAATCAAATCCAACAATAATAATCTAATCTAAACGGTTACCAATATATATTTTTTTTTTAACCAAACCAAAAAATAAAATCAATATGATCGTTGTAAATTAATTTTTCTCACCAATCATTTACCTTTCTAGCTCAATTCGTTGAGTATAGAGTGAACTACGCTCAAGAAACAAATTTCCTGATAATACTTTTCTGAAAAATGCCAAATCTATGCCCAATAAATCGATTTTTTGCGACACAGAATTCAGTATTGTTGTAAATTCATGTAAAGCCTAAAAAGATTTTTTTAAAGAAAAAAAAAGGATACGAGGAAAAATGCTTGCAACATTTTTCAATTGTTGAAAAACTTTTTTAAACAATAATTTGTAAAAAAAAAATCGCAAAAAAAAGGAAGTTTATAAATTAACCGTTTTATTTAAGTCAGCTGTTTTTTCTGCTGCACTTTCCACAGCTGTTGATAATGCATCGATTTGTTTCATGGTTTTTAAGCAGTAATTGTTCAGCAAAATCGACTAAAAATTATGAAATTAGAAAAAAACAAAAGATGCAAATTTTGTGAAAATACTATAATGATTAATGATTTTTTTTTCTTTCTCTTTCCCACTCTCTCGCCTTCTCTCTCTCTCTCTCTCTCTCTCTCTCTCTTCAAAGAGAAAAGATGCAAACAAATAATTGTCTGAAAAAAAACTTAAGATATGTAAAAAAAAATCATACGTGAAATTTGAAATAAATAATTAAGAATGGTTTATTAAATGATTAGTTATGGTCAATTTCTTTAAATTTTAAGTGAATATTTGTTTAAAAATTATTAGTTTAAAGGTCATTCCATCCTATGATGAGAATCAAAAAAAAAAAAATTCTAAAAATGGTGAAATGAAAAGAAAGAAAATGAATGAAAGATACTCGAAAAGGATGTTAAGGTCACATGGAATGAGCAAAAACAAAAAAAAAAAAAAAGNAAAAAAAAAAAAAAAAGGAACGAAACGAATAGTTCCGCTAAATAATTATCAATTTGAAATAATTACAACATAGAAAAATTATACTCCATTATTATTCATCAGAAAAAAAAAATTAAATGAACAAACCTGTGAATCAGCAAATAATAAATTCCGTGAGATATCTTCAGCACTGATAATTGAATTCATTACGCTGCGATTCAAATGTTCATTTCCAAATAAACATGCTCCAAGGCAAAAGCTAAACCTTTTCATAATTATTATCAACATTCATTTGAATCGAATATTAATCATTCAATAAATGAAAATTTTGAATAAAAACTAATTATTAAATTTAAACAAGTTTTTTTCGGCAGAAAAAAAAAACGCTTACATAATTAATTTTAATATGAAATATTATGATAACTTACAAGCATATAATGCTAATAATGAATAATACGAGTGAGAGTTGACGAACACGTCGCCTTGATTTCACATTTGCATCTTGTCTGATACAACATTGACAAATCCATGTGATTATAATTGTTAACAATAATGCTGCACCAATAAAAAGGATCACAACAACAAATACAAATAATGACTGAAATTAAAATTAGCAATTAAAAAAATTTCCACTTCTTTCCTTTTTTTTTTCTGCTTACAAAATATTTTTCTTGTTTTCATAAAATAACGCTAAGAGAAAAAAAAAATGTTATAATAGAATTTTAAAAGAATTGAAGCAATTTGAATCAAATTGATACAATCAATTTTGATGCTGTGTTAAATGTGCATTTTAAAATTATCATTTTAAATCTAATAAATGAATAAAATATGTGATTACTATTCCTTAAAATTCTCCGAAAGGGAAAATTTTCAGCTTTGTCAGCCGAAATGGAATAGAAATTGCCCTTTTTTTTCTCTTTTAAAATAATCTTTAGTCTAGTTTAGTGCTTAGTAAATGGCATAAAATCTTTTGATGATTAGATGCCTTTTTTTTTTTCGACGTATGTGTGGGAGAAAGCAAAAAAGCCGTTTAAATTATAAAATGTTCTTTCGATTGCATTTAGGAAGAGGAAAATAAAAACTACCGAAAAAAAACTAAGCTACTGGTCAAAAAATAACAAACATTTACAAATTTTTAAAATTTCTTAACTATTTGGAAATTTTGCTAGAAATGTTGAATAGTTTGCTTTACATAGCAAATTCAAATAACAAACAAACAATGATTATTATAATAATTATTAATTTATGCGTAAATTTATAAGATTTAGTTCATTGTTTGCATATGGATGATAATTAAACAAATTTAAGTTTGAGTATATCTTGAAAGCAAATTTGAATAAATTAATCATTGCTCTTTAAAGGGTAAATATTTTTTATTTAAGGTTTCTCTTAATCTAATAACTATATTAATTACAGTATGGTTCCTGAATTTTAAATTTATCCATCAAATCTAAAAATTACTCTTCTCATTTTTTACGTGCAGTGTATCATAAATGCATTCATTAAAATTGTAACAAATGTATCATCGGAAAACTATTCAGAGAAAAAATATGTTTGCCATGGTTTATCAAAAAAAAAA